CCCCCTTCCATTTAGAGGAGTAAATTAAAAAGAAATTAAAACGGGTTACCTGAAAGCAGAAGTTAAGAAGCAACAAATCAGGAACTAGTTATTCTAGTGACACACAATGGGAATTTTCTTTCTTCTTTCACCTCACTTGTGACCACTATAAGCAGGAACTGCTCTGTTATTATTATTGTTATTGTTGTTTATGGGGGGGAAATTAGTCAGAAAGGAAAAGGGATGCTTTTCTAAAAGTTTATTTTTCATCAAATGCACAAAATCTATTGACATATGGTTCAATAAAAGGTATGTGGTGCAAAGCTTTATTTGATCCCCCCCACCCCCAAATAAATAAAATACTGACAACCTCACAGGGGTGTACTATGTCAGCTGGGATTGGTTCTAGCCCCGAGACCCCAAGCTGGATAAGTGGTAACATAATAGATGGGCAAATGAAGGATGAAAACAATGACAAAAGTTGGCTACAGTAAAGCAAAGAGAAAAATAAAACAGGCTGAATATGGAAAATTACAATTGCAATTAATGTTTTTACTCAGGCAAAAACAAAAACACCACAGACAAAGCAAAAGACTTAGACCTAAGACTACTTCTCTTCAACTATATCACTTTCAGAAGACATAGGGATGAATGAAGAAGTCATAACGGTCTGCCCTGCATTTTTAATGCAGAAAATGAGACATTTCAACTAATGTATTTAATCAGTTATATGTTTTTCCACACTGAAAGGTATTACAAATATTATGTTGTGTCTGTTACTTGTTCAGATAAGATAAAGGGGATCAACCATAGAATATTTTTTTTCTTAGATTAAAAACAGAAAATAAATGTAAAAAAATGACAGAAAATTTATAAAGTTACTAAACGCTACATTTAACTGTCACAGGCAATATAAATAAATACAATACATACTTTAGTTACACTTCTGTGATACTATGTCTAATAATATGTCAAAATATCAACACCTATAAGTTTGAGACTGCTACCTGTGTCCAATATGTCAATGTGGCGGTGAAGTTGAGGTTATATATAAAAGACAACATATTCGTGCACAAATACACCCATATATAAGACAAAATCTTTTAGAACCACTAGATCCATTACGTGTATATTTAAAGTAATTATATAGAAGCATTAATTATTTATTTAGTTTTTAAAGAAACCCCAGTTACAACATTTTTTGTTAAAAAGGTCCATCTCAAATCCAACATGTTAAAACATGCTATGGCACACTCTCATTTGATCACATAACAGGGATGCGGTGCACCTGCCCTCACCTTCAGCGTTGCCCTGTCTGCACTGAGGCGCCTCAGTGTGTTTTTCTGATAAGCCGCACTTCTTTTCTTAAGAGTGTCGGTGTCTGTATTTGATGCGAAACGAAAATCACCTCTCCACGACCCGGTGGTCATAAAGGAATCATATCGCTCATCATTCAGCAAGGTGCCGCAACGGCTAAAATCTGCAAAACTAGAGGGGCAATAGGTCGTGGGGAAAACGGGCAGACTGGCTGTGGTTGAACGGTAAACGTAGCCACGCCGACAGAGTTTAAAATAAAACACTCCGCTGATTAGAAGGATAAACATAGAAGACACGGTTGAAAGAGCGATTATCAAATAGAGCGTTAAGTTATCGCTCTCTTGTGACTCATCTGCAAACTCTAAAAGTTCGCTTAAAACGGGGAGCCCATCACCAAGCATTATGCTGACTGTCGCAGTGGCAGAGAGAGATTCGAGCCCGTTATCCGTTACTAATACAACAATAGTATGTTTTGGTTCATCGTCCTCTATGAATGTTCTCGTTGTTCTGATTTCCCCTGTATGCAGATCTATCATAAACACGTTAGGCCGTGTTGCTTTGATTATTCTGTAAGAAAGCCATGCGTTATGACCTGAGTCAGCGTCCACAGCCACCACCTTAGTAACCAGGTAACCTCTAGGCGCTTCAGCTGGTACCATATCTTCAGCAATGTAACCGCTACTTTGCACAGGATATAAGACCACAGGTGCGTTGTCATTTTGGTCCTTAATAAACACATTTATAATGCAGGTGGTGGAAAGTGAAGGCCCACCGCCGTCTCTAGCTGTCACTTTAATTTGGAAGTAAACTGACTGTTCGTAGTCAAACATGCGTGAGGTAAAGACCTCCCCCGTGTCTGAGTTGATGCTTAAGAAAGATGACACTTCTGAGTTTGTGTCCTTTGATATTTGGTATTGGATTTTAGCGTTAGACCCGTCGTCAACGTCTTCCGCTTTGACTTTAATGACAAACGTGCCAACGGGTTGGTTTTCCAAGATGTTGGCATTGTACTCGCTTTGCATAAATGTCGGGGGGTTATCATTTATATCGCTAATCGCGATTGGTATAACTTTTACACTAGTAAGTGGGGGAGAGCCCGCATCAGTGGCAGTTACTGTGAGGTTATACTCTGGTTGCACTTCCCTGTCCAATATTCCATCAGTCACTAGCATGTAATAGTTTTTGACCTCCGATACTAATTTAAAAGGAACATTTTTTGAGATCGTACAGGTGACACGCCCACTGCTCCCAGTGTCCATATCATATATATTAATCAGAGCAACCATAGTCCCTGGTTTGGAGTCTTCAGCCACGTTAGAAGAGGCCGACTTTATTTCTATCACGGGCTTATTGTCGTTCACGTCAATCACATCAATTATAAGTTTACAGTGTGAGGCCTGGCCACCGCCATCTTTAGCCTGAACATCTAGCTCGTGTGAGCTAGCTTCTTCATAGTCAATGACACCTGATACGCGAACTTCTCCGCTTAAAGGGTCAATTTCAATAACACCTCCCAACTTGTCAGACAGATGACTGAAGAAATAAGTTATCTCCCCATACACCCCCTCATCCAGGTCCGTGGCCTGTAGCGTGGTTATGACAGTCCCTATGGCTGAGTTCTCTGGCACAGAGGCTTTGAAAACTCGCTGGCTAAAAACTGGGACATTATCATTGGCATCTAAAACACGGATAAGGATAGAAGCAGTTCCTGATCTAGCCGGATTTCCCCCGTCAATTCCATTGATTTTCAGTACATGTTCAACTTGTGCCTCCCGGTCCAATGCCTTTTTAAGAACTAGCTCAGGATAAGCATTTCCGTTCATTTGGTTACCCATTTCCAGTGCAAAATTGTCATTCTGGCTCAGTGTATATTCACGGACAGAATTCGTGCCGAGATCGGGGTCATGCGCGCTCTCTAAGGGAAAGCGCCTCCCTAGAACTGTGGATTCCACTAAATCCAGTTTTATCTCCCCCGTAGGAAACACTGGGCTGTTGTCATTTATATCTGTAATGTCCAAAACTATGCTGAATGCTTGAAGGGGCTGTTCAAGTAAAAGTTGATACTGTAAAATGCAGGCAGTGGCTTGTGCGCAGAGCTCCTCTCGGTCTATCCGTTGGCTGATCAAAAGATTGCCTGACGCAGTGTCCAGTTCACACAGCTGGCTTGTTCCTTCTGCAACAACACGGGCTCGACGAGCATCAAGCTCTTTCACCTCCAGCCCCAGATCCCGCGCAACGTTTCCAATCACAGAGCTCCTCTGCATCTCTTCTGGAAGAACATAACGGACTTCTCCAAACGAAACAGCGGAAAGGAGACTAAGAAATGAAAAATGCAGCCACCACTTTAACTGAGGTCGACGCATCATCAATAAACATTTTTTCAGAAATGGATGCACTGTCGACATTATAGCTAAGTCGTTAACATACATCCAAATACCGAACTGAAAATGCAACTGCAATCCTACGATTTCCTGCTTCTCTGGCTGAGTTAATCATGCTCTATTAAGAAAGCTGTCAGCTCGGATTTCTCTCTCTCTCTCTAACCTCGTTTTTCAGCTCTCTCTCCCCCTCTCTCTAACTCCCTCTCTCAGACAGCTCCACATACAGCCTCTCTCCTTTTCTCCCCTCACACACACACACACGATAAAAAGAGAAATGCGCATGTATACACAGCCGCCGGTCCTAACCCAATACTCTAGTTCCACTGACACATATAGAGGAAGACATGAGCATCCATGACTCAGACTTTATAAAAGAGCGTCACCAAGAGACTGAGAGAATAACTGCAGCTGTCTGTAATATCACCTTCCAGCACGTAACCAAAGTGAGCTCAAGTTGGGAGCTGAACATTAACTGCTATAACTACTAATAAGACAAATACGATCATTGTATTTTAAACAACACGATATGGACACAGTTAAAGCAATATTTATATAATGTAACAGAGTCTAGTATGGGATCCAGGATCTGATGTGGGCCCCGATTGATTATGTGATTGATTAGTATTTTGATAGACAAAGTAGTTCTGACCTAGAACCACTCAATTTATTCTCTATTTATTAAACACATTGTCCCAAAAGGACAGGGACAGGAGTTATTTCTACACAAAATGTTATTTATGCCAAATCATTTGGACTTAAACAGACAGGCAGACAGACAGACAGACAGACAGGCACGCACACACGCGCACACACACATGCACGCACGCACACATACACACACACACACACACACAAAGTCATGAAATGAAAAGCAGAAAAAGTTATTGATGATCTCGCATGCTTGGCTTTACTTTGTTCAACATAATCCCTCTAGTTGCTGCTACGGAGCACTCCAGAATCCAGTTTATTTCCATAAGTAATGACACTAAGAGACAGATGAATCACTCTATCACTCTACTTCCTCTTGCTGAAACAGCAACACCATCCAGCAACATACACATAAATATATCCATGGCACTGCAGCTCTAGCTACAGATTAACAATAATATATCCACATATGAAAAGAACTGTGACTAAGTGATTATCCATACATCAGAGAACAGTAGCTATGACATGCTTATCTCAGATAAACAGGGAAGTCTAATATTAAAAGGTGGCAAGTCTGAGGGGAATGCAGTGGCAAAGGGCCTTTTCCCTCTCTGCACTGTGAAAAATATGACAGCTTTGATACATGAGGATTCATAACGGGTTAAAATATTTCAAAAGAGAATTTGGCTTCATGGGGCATAAAACAAAGGCATATATACAAAATAAACTAATCTCACAAAAAGTAGCTGGATAGGATGATCATGCAGCTATGAAGTCTCAAACTAAATAACACTAAAACAATGCCATTTCACGTTGTACAGGTTTAGTCGGTGTAAATTAAATTAAATTAAATTAAATTAATATTAGTGAACAGTGTTGTGTCAGTGGGCAAGACATTTTGTGAAGTCATATTTTCATAAGTAACTAACTAACTGTTATTCTGTAACACAGGTGTCAAACTCCAGGCCTCGAGGGCCGGTGACCTGCAGATTTTAGATGAGTCATTGATCCATCACAGCTGATTTAAAAGGCTAAATGACCTCCTCAACATGTATTGAAGTTCTCTAGAGGTCTGGTAGTGAACCAATCATTTGATTCAGGTGTGTTGACCCAGGGTGGTATCTAAAACCTGCAGGACACCGGCCGTCGAGACCTGGAGTTCGACACCACTGTTCTATAACATTTTTTTTTTTTGCAGCTGAAAGACTAATAAATTAAAAATAAACAAAATAAAAGAAATAAAAGAAAATGAAAAATAAATACAATAACATAAAATAAAATATAATGATGAGATGAATTATTAAGAGGCTGAAAAATAAGAAAAAAATGACCTGAACCCCAAAATACGACTCACAACTGCAATTCTCGGGAGGTGGCCCTAACTGAGACACAAGAGCGCAAGAATGCGCGTCCACACCGATGAATACAGGAAATGAAAACTGTTAGGGCTGGTGTCTAGCGCCACCGTGAGTTAGGTTTTGCGGAAACACCTTAACACTAAATCTAAGCAAACTACAACTAATGTTCAGTGTATGATTTTTTATCTTCTTTTAAAAATATATTTTTATGTAGAATAAATATGTAAAACTTCAGTTACTATAAAGGAGACAATGAGAGAAAAGAGTTTTACATTGTGAATCAAGTAAACAGTTGTAAAATCAAACAAAAAAAAGAAGACAACTATAAATGTGCTTATTTGTCTTCATAAAATTATGATATCTTTAATTGTATGTTGTTGTTGTTTCTACTAAGAGGATTCAGATTTGTCTGTGTGCCTGGAACTGTTCTTCACATAGTGATCACTGCCTTGTTCTCATCACCACACACATATGCACGTTGTTTAGTTACATTGAGTCAGTTACTGTACTCCAGGTGACTGTTTTATGCTTTTTGTCTCCATCCAGTAGATACTGCTAATCTGCTGCTCTGCATAACTGTTTTCATACTAGACCCTCTCAACCCAAAGGTTCAAATGTAGCTACGTGTATAAAGCTGGTGCAGGAAAATGTTTATGTGCTTTCAGTATGTTTTTGCTCTTATGTCTAGTATTGCTATGTTGATATTTTTGGTATTAAATTATGTTATCCAGTAAGCAGGAGTCACATTTGGATTTCAGAAATACACCTAAATTTACAGTCCAATGATTTATGGTTTCATTTGTTGCTTTTTTTTAAAAAAAAATTAACAAGTGTGACATGCGGTCAGCAGAGTCGCTAAAGAAATCTCAGTTGAGACAATGCAAACTCAAGAGCTCTAATTAAACTACACACTGCCTCATTTTACAACTCATCAGTCACATGAATTAGAAATCAACTTTCACATATTTTAAAATTAAGATCAAAGACAAAGCTGTC